GCCCTGGGGCTCTGCCAGCCAGCCGGTATAAAGGGGTAGAAGAGCAGCGAAGCCCCGGTGCCTGCCCGCTCCCACGGCCGCGGAGGAAAAACTGTCTGAAAATCAAAGCTGGCTATAGGGTAAGCTAAAGGGATAATTATAACTTGAAATCACTTGTCTGGGGGGAAACTGGACTCCGGCAGCATGCAGGCAGGCCGCTGATCCTAGTAAAAGTTGTAATTAGGGAAGAGTCAAAGCTTCTTTGATGCTAAGTGAAGGAAGTAAACGTGTATATTACAGGGGATTTAAATCTTAAAATCTCAGGCTTTGTTGAAATTAACTTTCTTCTCCAGATTTTATGACAAGAAATACGAAGTATTTTTGAAACTTGTGGAACATCAGCGAGAGTATCGCTCCATCATGAACGGCTTCTAATCCGGAGTCATGTAATCTGGGAACAGCAGGGATAACAAAACTTCCAGATACTTGTCATAAGGGTAATTTCTCCTTACTGTACTGTCCATGTTAAAAATACACTTTTATCATTCAAAGTGTACGTTTTAATTTTTAATGTGAAATAAAATACAGTCACTTCGCTGTGAAGCACTGGGTATTTTCTGTCAATAATCCCTGCGCCCCAGGGACAAGGAATTATCATTTGCTCCAGTCAGAGACGACAAAACAACCAGCTGTGGGTACCCCGGTGCTGGTATTTAAACTGGCCACAAGCAGGAACGGCACAGGGAACAACGTAACTCACTCGGATGGACTTGAATCGCTGCCCTTTGCCATGCTTTTCACAGGTAACTACACCCGGCATCGCACAGGGCCCTTTTAATTTTACTATCCGCTACAGCTGAGACTCAAACAGGATTTCCATTGGAAAGTTCTGTTGTTTGGGTTTTTTTTTCCTCTCTCTCTCTGATTATAGTACTTCTTTGGTGGCTGATATTTGGGAATCACTTTTGCAGCTGTGCAATCTTTTCCCCTCTGTTTCGTCTGTTTCCTGCTCTCTTTTTTGTATCTCCGTTCTCGCAGCGCAGTCGCTTTGCTATCAGTAATTTGTGCTATTTTGTCTTTTGCAAGTAACTCGCCCTCAGTGCGCGTTAATCACCGTGCAGATGTGAAACGGCCCACCGTAGACCTTGAAAGACGAGGTTGAGCAGACACAGTTGCTGAAAATATGTTCATAATGCAGGTGCATTCCTTCCATCTTGCCAGCTGCCTCCCGGGGAGTCGGCCCTGAAACAGTCCAGCCCTCCCTGTCCATTCTCATCACGTTCCTTCATCCGGACCCAGCTCAGAGCGTGTGCGTCTACACAGCCCGCCAGCTGCAGGTACAGGGAACGCAGAGGGGGAGAGAGAGGGTTTTCCTTCCTTAGACTTGCATTTGTCAATGCTCAGAAACCTTCCTGGCTACCTGCTGGCCAAATCCAGTCGACAAAAGGCTTTTATTTGTTCCCAAGTGATTTTGAAGGTTGCCCTGGATAGTTAGTCCTACAAGGTACTGCCAGGCTCACGATGACAGGTCGTGGCGTAACTGGGCTGTGGAAGGAGAGAGTTTGGACGCTCTGGCTGTATATAGGAAAAATGTTTCACCTCTGACAGTACAAAGTGTTTTGATCTTGCAAGATCTAAACGCTGCCAGTGCCTTCACTGAAATTCTCTCATAAATTCTTTCTTTCTCTGCCATTTGTCTGTTCCTTCTTTAAAAAATATACTGTTCTGATTAAAAAGCAAACCCAGGGTCCCCAGCTGAAGGAGAGGATTAAAAAGCAAGGGGTGAGAGAACAGAAGAGCATATTCAGATCAACTACAACTCTGTTACAGATCACTCATGAGAACCCTTCTTTTCTTCAAGCTGTGAACTGCCACGCTCTTGGTGAGCCTGTATTAGGCAAGAGAAACGACCTATGGTCCCTTTCCACGCAGTTGGTGTTCATATAGATGGACTCCATCTTTATACACTTAGCTTGATAGACATTCCATTCTTTAGTATTGGCATAGGCTGTAATTCCCAGTTAAATGCAAACAGAAGTTACACAATAACAAAATTAGACTTAGAGAACTTGAAAAATAATAGTTTCTGTTTTTTTTTTTTTATGTTAGTAGTCAGCACTCAAAAACATCTGGTAATTTTTTTTAAGAAACAATGCACTTCCTGCCTTGTAGTTCATGGAAAAGCAATTGTTGCCATTTCCAAAGTACCCATTGTTAAGAGAAACAGCTTCACAAGTTCAGGGACATAATTAAAGACAATGAAAGTTGATGGGAATAAAATGAAGAAACATCATAACAAAAAGAATATAACAAGCAAGAAAACAACTGCAACATAATGTTATATCATAGCTTACAATTCAAGGGCACAATAAAATATGTCAGCTGAAAATACGTAGAAGGAAAAAACAGTTGGAGACCAGGGTATTGTGAGCAATAAATATTCATAAATTTTAATATATCTATTTTAATATACAATTCATAGGTAAAAAGGAAGTCCGCTGACTCCAAATACATAGCAAACGTACAGATTATACAGGGACTGAGGTGTAGGGTTGTTTGTCACTGTACCAAGCATTTTTAACTCTTTGCAGCTCAACACAAACAGACATGCACACCCACCCACCAACTTCAGCAAACTTTCCATAAAATTCCTGCTATTTCTATTGTCATTGTCATAAAATTGGACTTGATCTCTCTGGCTGAACTGGTACCAAGACTTACAAGGACATCACAAGGAGTGCATGAAGTCTAGAAAGGAAAGAGTCATGCTGACTTTGTTAAAGCTTAGATGCACCGAGTTCAAGGAAGCTATGTACCTTGCATAGGCTTAGAGGAAAGAGTTACACAGATTTCTTCACATTTCTTGCATGATTTTTTTAATGCTTTTCTCTCCTTGTAATACTTTTACTTTATAGTTGTATTTTTGTTCCAAGCCAGGGCTACTGCCAGGTTCATATTATCCATTTTAAAATCGGGACTGTAGTTACTGCAGAGCTGTAAAAAAATCTGTATTCCAGTGGCTGTGCGATCAGCTGTGGTAACACAAAGCACTGATACAAGATTTTGTAGTGATACTAGCTGACAGTCCTTGTGTTATACAGGACTTAGCAAACTGTACAGTTTACTAAGTTCTCAAATTAAAATTTTATCCAAATTGAGCCAAGAAGTAAAATGTGAAAGCTCGAGAGTTCTAAACTCTTCAACTGCAAGTTGATTGGCATTGTCATTTTAAGTTCTGTTCATAGATTTAGACATTTTCAATTCAGGCACTTTGTATGAAGATAAGTTACAGAAAAATGTGGCATGAAAGAGTCCAGCAAGTAGAGAGTGTAAAACTCGCTGCCTAAGTGCTTGCGCATCTAATCCCTTGGCCAGGCTGAGTATTGCTGAGTCCTGCTTCAATCTTTGTCAACAGCAGAATGACAAATCCATCACACGCTGCCCCAAATCAGAGAAGTTGGTCATCGCTTGATGAAGTTTGACCAAGGAATCCAAGTTTGAGTCAGTCAGGACTCTGACAGCACGCTCGGAGCTGCAGACCTTGCCATATTGACCCCATTAGATGCAATTTGCTGACAAATGTTTATCATGCAAATTAAAAGAAGGGAAACAACCACCATGTCATCAGCTGTTCCAAGCGTCCTACAGAGAGGCCCAGGCTTCATGTCAAATGGAGAAGACAAGCATATGATAGTTCCAAAGGAGCAAACAGCAACTCTTAGGAAAAAAATCCATACAAGACCATCCCAGGTGAAGATTCCTCGCAAGGCAAGAGTCAGGAATAACGGCATGTCGTAAAGGTAATCTGCAAACTAAAGATTCAGATGAGTTATGTTATTTTGCATTCTGATGCATGCAGTTCTTTCAGTTCAATGTGTCTCTTAAGCACATTTCAATTCAGATCTCTTGAATGCAGAAGCTTTCTGCGCTGTCCAAGTCCACCTACACTGGTCAATTATTTTGCAGTATCTAGAGGCACACGTCTACAAGGAATCCCCGCTGCCTCAGCACTTTGGAAAGAAAGCATTGTGCTTGACATTTGATCCTTTCGGAAACTGGGCCTGAATGGCTGCACTGACTATATGCCTGTCCTTAAAATCTGACATCAAGTATAGGCTATGAATGCTTGAAAATGAGGCCTCAAGGTTTGCCTTGGTGTGGCCAGGAACCGTGGGACTGAGTGATTATTCCTCTTCATTAATGCTAGTTTGTTGGGTTGCAAACCAATATTCCCCTCCGCAGTGCTTAGTTTAGTCTGTAGATTGCAACAGGCTCCACAGTCCTTTCAGGCCCCCTACCAGGATGTGACAGGAGAGGAAGATTTGCTTTGGTGATGTTCTGCACCCTGTCAAGAATGGGCCTCACTTGTGCCTTCAGCCCTCATCTTTACATCATTCCCACTGCCTGTCACGTCTCCGTACCAGCTGGGATTCCAGCTTTAAGACAGTGCAGAGCCAGTGTGGACTGTTTGAATTTGGCAATACCTGGGAAAGAAACAGCTGCTTTCTAAGCTGGAATCTGGTTTGACATTTGAGAGGCAAGTTAAAATCCTGGAGTTCAAATCTGAGTTCATATTTGAAAGTTCCAGCTTAACCATCTCTAGTTCTGCTTTCCTTCCTGTATTTCATCCCACACTGCTTTCTCCTCCCTGCCAGGATGACTGCAGAAGGACTCCTCTGAGCCAGAACTTTTACTAGAAGGTGCTGGACCCAGCAGTGGATGGTAACACTTCCACTACGGTATTGCCAGTAAGCGCACGAAAAGGTAGTTCACATAATGATAGAAACTAGTTTTCATTGCTGGGTCTCTTTCAATCCTCTATGTGTTACGCACTACTAACTAGGTAAATGCAGATTTATAAATACTTACGGGTCGAGGCTGCCCTGAGAAACGCTTGTTGTAATCTCTAATGTCATGTGCAGTTTGTTTACTTGGCTTATCTTGTTGCTTTTCACAAGAAATGTTATCCAGAAGAACCACCTTCACAAGAAAAGAAGATCGGCGTTAGCAGGGTGTATTTTAATCTCCGGTATAAAGGATAGCATTCTGTAGCACGTGTCTCTCCATAGTCTCTCTCTTGCAACTGGACCTTTGTCCAGCTCCAGCAGTTCCGCGATAGCAAGAACATTTTCCTTTTATAACCTGCATCCAACCTTCCAGTATAACAGGCAGCCTCTGACTGGGGTCAGATGAGATTAGGAGCTTCCATATTGCTTTTTATGGAATGTTATCCCAGAGATTCAATAAAGTATGCAAAAGTAAAATGCTGGAGGCATGTTTAATATTTCACGGAGTTGCCTGATATGACATGTCAAATGATAAATGCAAATGGCTGCAGGGTCATTCAAGTCTAACTGGGTTTTGAAATGCTACGGAAAATTAGAGGATAAATAACATTGATCCTAGGAGCTCAAGCTTGTCATTTTGTATGTACCGTAATGCAGGTGGAGGTAAGTCTTACTTTTTGTCTGCAGAGAGGGCAGGTTATTGCTGCTAACCAGGGACTATGTTTCCAGTATGTAATCAGACAGGAACCTACAAAAAAAAAATAATTTGAGGATATTTAATGTTTACAAAGAAGTTATCAGAATTAATAAACCTTGTTTTGCAACTGATTCTGAAAATGATTGTAATCTTTGCTTTTATTTTAATACGTGGTTTTACTCTGCAAAGTGACTGTGCAAAAATGGAGCCTTAGCTCTTCTGGACCAGTACATCCAGAGATACCTGGACCTCCCGCAGCGCAGCTGCATGAAGGAGGAGTTCCTCCAGAGCCAGTATGGCTTTTAAGGGTTATGAGAGCCAGTTATCCCAAATAAACCACCATGCAGAGCCAAGGGACAGCCTGGTGATGCAGACTGCTGGTGGCACAACAACTGTCTTGGTGACAAAGTATCATACAGGGGACTATTTTGTCTGTTTGCTCCCCCCTTTTCTATATTTCTGTATATTTCTAATATATTTGTAATATTCTATATATTTCTAATATTTCTATATTTCAACTCTGTTACCCTTCTGGAACTGCGTAGCTCTGGAAGAGAAAGTTGCTGCATTCTTTTTGACTCTTCTTACCCAGACAACTACTAACTAATTTCCAAATACAACATACAAAGGTCTCGGGTGTGAAAGAGGGCAGGGTCTGAGGACGGTAAGATGAGAGTGCACATCTAACTGACAGCAGTGGTTGACATACGTGAATGTCAGTGCTGGCACGAACAGCAAAAACAGCAAAGCATAAATAGCGTCTAATCAGAAGCAGCACAGCTTGACTTTCAGCTCCCGGGCGCAGTGTGCAGTGTGACAGGTCAGGGGAAAAAAAAAATAAAAATCTCAACATTTAAACTGATCAAATTTGACAAGGACCCCAGTGAAAACAGCAGCAGAACGCTGCGCTGCCATTTTGATGGAATCGTTTTATTGAATTGAACAATGCCCTTTGTTCTTAAAAACAACGAGCAAGTAGTTTGGTGTAAGCAGTACTATAACAACAAGTCTTCGGGAGCCCTCAGCGCAGGGTTTCTCTGCACCCAGACTTACTTTGTCTATTGTCACTGAAAAGGGGAACACTGGAGAAACTGCGTTTGAAATGAAGTATAAAAATGTTCACGATGCTAGCTGTTACATCTTACATACTAGGACTAGGGATGTTAAATTTGGCCCAAATATATTTTTATGAACCTCGCTCTGACTTGTGCTTTTTACTTTTGGGGGTTTTTTTTTGAGTGCAGGGTTTTTCTTTATGACTCTTCTATTTTGTTTGCATGTACAGACCAGTTGGCTGGGCACATGGCTGTGTTTAAATCCCTGTGCAGTATGTATAAACTCAGTCTGGCAGCCGGCTTCCAGCTTTCGCTTGAGCTTTTGCATTTGACGAACATCACGCCTGACTTCTGGAACCGCTTGGACCCACTGGGTCCAGATCCTGTATCGTGCTCCACACGGCCGCATTGCTGTGCCTGTGCTCAGGCCCAGTGATGACAAGGGGGCACTGATGGATCCCATAGGTCTTCAAGGGCTTTCAAAAAAGAACCCCGTGGAAATTAAAATTTGCCGCCTGCAGAATCCTTTGTTTAGTAGAACAGGAAAGGAAGGACCCCTCTGAAGTTGACCTATTTGTGCTTCAGTGCATTTTTCATAAAATAGGCAAAATCCTGTTTTAATCTAGCCTGCTACACAACCGTCTGAGGGAGTCTGTAGGTTTCTCTAAAATACCTCTGTGGTTATCGTTAATTAGAAAAAAATAATATTGCTCAAGGATCGCTTTTCAGTTGAACTTCCTGAACATATGGTTCAAACTGAACCTGAAAAGGAAAACTGCAGGACAAACTGTATGAATTACTACTAATAATAAAATCAGACATTTTTTATAAGTCCACATTAATCTTCTTTAAAAGCTTTGGGTTGACCACATTTTTTAAATAAAACTTTTACCACAGCGGAATTTATTAAGAGAGCTCAGCGTTGCCTTAGCTCTGTTCCACGGGGCATCAAGAGAAGTTTTATTACTGATTTCAGTCACAACAGACTTAGACCTATGCAGAATGGTTTTGATAAGCCCAATGTAAAGTTTTATTGGTTTAAGACATGAAAAACAGACATGTTACAGAGGCCGCTTCTACTATATAAACATAGTCATAACATATATAATGCGTTACACTGGAATCTGTGCTTCGGAGTGTAAATGACGGTGTGCTTGAGGAAGGTAAAGCCTGGCTAAATATATACAGCTAACAGTAACAATATATACCAAGCTTGTATACGGTACTTGTCCTCCACAGATCTCAAACTAAAATAAAAATAAAAGTCTGTATCATTATGTCATATTCACAGATGGAAAAGAGAAAATTAACCGGGCCAGAGAAAGAGGAATGTTGATGATCTTTGTTGTTATGTCTATCTTTGTACTTGAAACTATAACTTCTGTGACATTATTTAAAACACATTTTTGAGGCCATATGCTTACTGTATGTCCTGGAGTGAGTTATATTCAAAGCATCCTTTTCCTGTACGTTATAAAACAATGTTATAAAAACATGAAACAATCTGAAGTATTAAATGGTATCACTCATGAGGTAGATGAGCCCTACAAGGTGTCCCTAACCTGTTGGTGATCCACTGATCTGTTGTGGTTTCAGAGGAGGGAGATAGTGGCAGTGGTGATGAGGCGCTGTGCTGTGTGAGCATCATTTCGATCTGGAGGAAAATGACACTTCCTAAAGATAAGAATGTGCTTTTACTGCATTAACAGCAGAGTCCCTTCTTATCATTTATGCTTTGGTCTTTTTTTAGAACACTTGTACGTGGTGAAAAAAAGTGTAAATGGCTTCTAAATATAACTGGCACTTGCCTTAAGGTCTCTGTAAAATGCCAGAGCAGTAGAAAGGAGCTTTATGGTTCTGACCGGCGTCTTCTGCTGTGTCTTGCTGTTGCCGTATCAGACAGCACTGCCTCCAGCCGCCGGCCGGCCCCTCGCCCAGGGATGACTGGTCTCACCCTGCCCAGCAGCCTGAAGTACCTTCATGGGCAGCTTCGGCCTCATCGGATCATGAACTCCAGTTCTCCTCTGCCGGCCGTGCTGCGGGGATGACAGCGTTCGGCAGGGAACCCGGTCAGCGGCTGGAGCAGCGAGGTTGTAAACTTCACCTGTAAATTCACTGGGCGATGTATCAGAGGTCTGAGAGGAACAGTGTTCAGTCCAAGTACGCTGGTGGCCTCATCCTGCTGCCTTTCAGAGCAGGTACAAAGCTCATGCTGGCTCTCGTGGTGCAGAATGTAGGCCTTAAAAATCCTGAAATCCCCTTTATAAATGCAATTATGAACATAACTCCCTCCACGATTCTATGCTTCATCCTTGTATTCCCTTTGAAGAATTATTTAAATTTTGTAATCCTAACCATATGGCTTAGCAGCCTCAAAGGCGGCATTTAGCAGACACATTGATGGAGAGAATTGTGGTTTTACGTGGATTATCCAGTGACTATAGATGCACTGGGGGAGGACAGGGGACCACAGCACGGGCAGCCTCAACAGAAGGAGCCTCTCAGTCTGGATCTGTCCCTTTCCTGTTAAGACAGATCCTGGACTGGAATAAACGGTTACTGAGCATACATCGTGACAAGATAGCTTTGAACATTTTTTGTCCTGTATGACCACACAGATTTACTTAAAAAACAATAAACATTTTAAAAGAAGGTTTATACATGACTAGAAGCTCGCTTACTGAATTGTTTAATATGTAACTTCTACAATTTTTTTTTAAAAGCTTTTACAGGACCACAAACCAGTGTAGTTACGCCGCCTTGCTCTAGATCACATCTGCTTTATTTTAGGCAAATGTTTCACATGGGAAGCAAGTCTGTGGGAACAGAATCAGACCTGAGCCCAGTGTGTCTTACTCCCAGTTTTCACCAATATGAGGACAATGAGAAATCATTTTATGGGATAGCTGGGGTTTTATGCTGTTGATTAAAAAGACAAGCTGTCTTCCCAGAAATGCATTCATGCTTGAAGACAAGACTTCATGTTTGTTACGTCTTGAGCTTTCACAGTGTATGATTATTAGACTGTTGTTTTTTATAACAGGGTTTTTTTGCATTGTGATTGCCTGGTGCATTTTACCCATTCCCTGAGTTTGTGTTGTAATTTAATGGTATCCTGTGAGATGAGCTGTTACTTCTTGTCGTCTTAAAACTTCTTGGTCATTACAAAAGTGGCACCTTGTAAATGTGAAAGCAATAAGCAAATAAAAATACTGTTTCTGTTGTGTTTTTTTTTTGGGGGGGGGGTGTGATATAATGATGGGACTTCTGCTTCTAGTGAGAGCAATTACATTAATTTTGAGGAGAAGGGCTTGGTCCCGATTCTAACATAGGACTTGAGATTTCTGTAGGAAGAGTGCTTTATTTAGTAGCCTGTATAAGCACTGCACTCTCAATCCAGAAAACTTACCACAGAATAAATGTCCACAGTTGGTTTCTACTGGTAGAGTCGCTGTCTGGAGACAGATGGGGCAGCTGGAGTCACTGTGATTACTAGGTTGCCAAATTTGGAGTGATTCCTGAAAGAGACACAGAACAGAGTCTTCAATAAATTAGTATTTTGATTAACATATTCAGTTCATTAATAATAATTTACTATGATTAGCAGAGAGTCACAGAAACTAAGAATAGATGTCATGCATAACTAATTGTTACCATTTTTCCTCCTCCTTTGTAGTCCCGCCTGTCACTTAAATGCACTGAAATGAAGTCTGGTGCATTCTCTGCCTTCCGTGGGTGGCAGAATGGTATTCCTGGTGTGTACCATAGGCTACGTAGCAAAAAGACTCCTTTAAATCCTTCCCTTTGCTTAGCAAAGTCTCTAATTAAGAATAATATTGATCTTTGTTTTTAGAGTGGGAAGAGAAGAATTCTGTAAGCCTCTGAAATGATAAAGAGGCATTTTGAAATCCAAAGCGTATTACCATATTTCTGGAGGGGAAGGGCTGAAGGATGTACGTTGCTCTTCCAGTCCTGGCTCCTAAACCATCGCCTGTAAGCAGTAAAAGTCTCTTTGGCAATATATTCATTTATGCCAGGATTGCTTGATACAGCGAGAGATAAAATAGCCGTTCTTACTTGATATTGATTCCTTACCACATCATAAGTTTTTGCTACCTTGATTATGGTGCATTAGCTAGTCTGTAATGGTTGATGGACCTGCCTGCCTCATCTTGGCACACCATGGAGAAACTTACATTCGACCATGCGTTTGCTTGCCATAACCACAATGAGATCAGTCTTCAAAGAAAATGGAATCAACGTGTGGTTACTGTCCTTTCTTCCTCCAGATAAAGTTATTTCAACATTTCTATCAGTCCCAGAACCAGAGGGGCACTTCTGAAATTGGGAGGGAGCTTCCAGGGAAGTTCCCTCACGTGAAGGCAGAGTCTTGAAGGTTACTGACTGTCCTCCGCTGCCTACGGGTGTTTAGCGAGGTTCAACAGGAGATGGCATCAATTACAGTTTTATTTTGTATTTTGATCAAAAAAGGATGAACTTCGCATGTTTCTTAATGACCACAGAGGTCCAGCATGATATGGAATGGGTATTATTTGTCCATTAGTAAGGCATTCAGATGAGATGGTGGCATACTTTGAGGTTACAGTATCGCCGTGTGCGTGCTGTCCCTTGTTGCCCAATTTGGATTGCGTATTTGTTTTTCAAATACCTGATTGGCACCTGCCTACATGACAGGTCAATGAATACATTTCCAAGTATTTGACCTATTTATAGAAGTTTTTATAAAGAGAAAATCGAATAGATTCTATATTTTACATGTCAAATACTGGAAGATGCAGAGTGATGCTGGATTCAAGCTCATGTGACTACAGACAAAGATTTTTTTAAAAAAGTAATTAATTTTTCTAATGTAATAATTCTAAGAAAGAACAGAGAGGTCGTCATGTAAGTAGTGTTCAGGAATCCCGGTCTCTTGCCAGACCCAGGTCTAAAATTACAAGTTCACCAAATTAGTAATTTTAAATCAGCGCCTTTAATACCAGTCTTTCCTTCCTATAATGAGGATCTGTAAATAAGAACTGGAAGTTTTAAAACAACGTGCCATAACTACTGGAAAAAGTCTTACTCCTTTACTGTTTGTGAAGTTATAAATGTATTTGTTTCTGATTCTTAACAGAAACATTTCAGATGCTGAAGGCATTTACATTGTATTCAGATTTTCCTCTCTATGCACTGATAAGGTTATCTGCTGCTGAGGTAACAACGGCACAATAGCCCAACAAAGCTGGGATGGCTGCAGGTGAATAACTAAAACACCAGAGTGATCAGATTAAAATCCAGCGTACTGACGGGTGAACTCCAGGCAAGCAGGTTTTAACATGATGCTACCTAAAATTGATACGGTACCTG